TCGAAGAAATTTTTAAGCAGCAAGGCATTCAAGAGGTGACTTGGGTGCATTCAGTTTTATAAGGGAAAGAGAGAATAAAAGTTCAGAAAATGTGCAGGCTGACCATGCAATAGAAAGTAAAATCACATTTTCTGAGGAGAAATTCAAGTGGGCTGCAGAAATTTCTGCAAGTAATGAGGAGCCTGATGTTAATCACCAAGACAATGAGGAAACTTTCTCCAGGGAATGTCAGAGACCTTTGTGGCAGTCCCTCCCACCACAGGCCCAGAGGTTTAGAAGGAAAAAATGGTTTTGCGGGCTGGGTCCAGGGTCCCTCTGCTATGTAGTCTAAGGACTTGGTGCCCTGCTTCCCAGCCACTCCAGTTCTAACTAAAAGGGGCCAAGATACAAGATACAGGCTGTTGATTCAGAGGGTGTAAGCCTCAAGCCTTGGCAGCCTCCATGTGGTGTTGAGTTTGCAGGTGCACAGAAGTCAAGAATTGGGGTTTGGGAACCTCCACCTAGATTGCAGAAGATGTATGGAAATGCCTGGATTCCAGGCAGAAGTTTGCTCCAGATGCAGGGCCCCCATGGAGAACCTCTGCCAGAGCAGTGCAGAAGGGAAATGTGGGGGTCAAACAGAGTCCCTACTGCAGCACCATCTACTGGAGCTGTGAGAAGAGGGCCACTGTCCTCCAGACCCCAGAATGGTGTATCTACTGAGAGCTTGCACCATGCACCTGGAAAAGCCACAGACAATGTCAGCCTGTGAAGGCAGCTGGGAGGAAGACTGTACCCTGCAAAGCCACAGAGGCAGAGTTGCCTGAGACTATGGGAACCCACTTCTTGCATCAGTATGTCCCAGATGAGAGAGATGGAGTCAAAGGAAATCATTTTAGAGCTTTAAGATTTGACTGCCTCACTGGATTTCAGACTTGCATGGGGCCTATAGCCCCTTCGTTTTGGCCCATTTCGAATGGCCATATTTACCCAATGCCTGTACCCACATTGTATCTAGGAAGTAATTAACTTGCTTTTGATTTTACAGGCTCATAGGCAGAAGGGACTTGCCTCATCTCAGATGAGATGTTGGACTGTGGATTTTTGAATTAATGCTGAAATGAGTTAAGACTTTGGGGTAGGCCGGGCGCGGTGGCTCAAGCCTGTAATCCCAGCACTTTGGGAGGCCGAGGCGGGTGGATCGCCAGGTCAAGAGATCGAGACCATCCTGTTCAACATGGTGAAACCCCGTCTCTACTAAAAATACAAAAAATGGTGGTACGTGCCTGTAATCCCAGCGACTCAGGAGGCTGGGGCAGGAGAATTGCCTGAACCCGGGAGGCGGAGGTTGCGGTGAGCCGAGATCGTGCCATTGCACTCCAGCCTGGGTAACAAGAGTGAAACTCCGTCTCAAAAAAAAAAAAAAAAAAGACTTTGGGGTATTGTTAGGAAGGCATGATTGGTTTTGAAATGTGAGGACATTAGATTTTGGAGGGTCCAGGGGTAAAATAATACGGTTTGGCTGTGTCCCCACCTAAATCTTATTTTGAATTCCCATGTGTTGCAGGAGGGACCCAGTGGGAGGTAACTGAATCATGGGGACAAGTCTTTCTCATGCTGTTCTTGTGATAGTAAGTCTCATGAGATCTGATGGCTTTATAAAGAGGAGCTCCCCTGCACAATCTCTCTCTCTTTGCCTACTGTCATCCATTTAAGATGTTACTTGCTCTTCCTTGCCTTCCACCATGATTGTGAGGCTTCCCCAGCCATGTGGAACTGTAAGTCCAATTAAAACTCTTTCTTTTGTAAATTGGCTGGTCTCAGGTATGTCTTTATCAGCAGCGTGAAAACAGACTAATACACTGGGTTACTGCTTCTTCTAATCTCAACAAGTATAAGAACACAGGGTAATAACTAATCTCAAGGCATTCACTGACCCAGATTGTGACAGACATATAAAAAGCTGGAGCTTTTAAACCATTTGATTAGTGCTGTCCATAGTTAGTTATGACAGAAGCAAATGTTGTATGCATCTCCTTTTTTTTTCTTCTACCACCCTCATTATCTGACAGTAGCCAAACCAACTTACTGCAGAAGTCACAGTGATCTGTCACATCCTAAAGTGAAAGGGGTAGGAGGGTTGGAAACTCATCTTCCTCTCCCTAATATAATGTCAAAATCATCCAAAATTACTTATTGGCTCACTGTCATGGGGGATATTTAAAATGCTACTTTGGTAGATTCCCAAAGTATTACATCACCTCTTGAATTGACAATATATTGGCAGAATAAAAGGTAAGTACAGAGTAGAAGTGAAAGTCCCAAGTAGTTAATGTTTTGAGCTGTATTCTTTACCTAGGAAACCTCATACATTCCCCTGATTTAACTACCACCTATATGCTGATCATACCCAAATCTATCAATCAATGTAGACCTCTAAACTCCAGATTTATCATTCCAACTACTCAGTGAACATCTTTACCTGAATTTCCCTTAGACGACTCAAACTAAATAGGCCTAAATTTGAACTTACTACCTTTTCCCAAACCCGGCTTTTCTTCCTTCCCCATTAGCATCTAGCTTCTCACCCAAACCAGAAACCTAAAAGCCATCTTTGACTTTTCCTTCATCTTTACTCCTAAATCTCATCAATCACAAGTACTAACACTATCCTCAGTCCTCTATAACCCACTGTTATTGCCAGGATCTGAACATCACTTGCTTGGACTATGACAGTGACCTTCTAACTGATCTCTCTTCACCAGTCTTGGCCCCTTTAAATCTATTCTCTACACTTCTGCCAGGATAATCTTTCTCAAATTTAAATCTAATTGGGTCTCTTAAAACTCTTCATGGCTCCCCACTGCTTATAGTCAGCATGGTGTATAAAGCCCTTCAGGAGATTCAGCAGGCAGTCTATTTACCTCCCTGGTTTTCTCTCTCTTCCCTTCCACCTTGTTACTCTATTGCACTGTGCATTCCAGCATTCATTAATTACTTGTAATTATAGAGATGCATCAAGTAGATTTTTGCATCCACACCTTTGCATGTCCTGTGTCCTACAATTATCTATACCTTCATCTCTACTTGTTCTGCCCCATGACTGCCTGCTGAACTCCTTCTTCCTCTATCATCTAAAATCCTACTTGTAGGTCATCTCCCCCAATTCTAGACAAATTTAATCACCTCCTTTTCTGTATTGCTTCCTCTATCATAATACTTATCTTTTCCTATATTATTATGCATGTATGTAAAATATAAAGTAGCATATCAAAACCCTTATACCTTATTATAAATACTTATTTACACTTCTGTCTCCCCTGGATTGTCACTCATTAAGGGCAGAGACCATCTGATATTCAATTTTATAAGCCTGATGCCTACCATAGCATCTGGCACACTTAAACTCAATAAGTACTGGCTATTCTTAAAGATGATTCTAAAATTTATTCAACTACTTCCCCCAAAAATTGACAACCACTACACTCAAACTTGTGATTTATCCTGCAAAAATCACATAAACTGATAATATCAACATAAGTATATCTTTGTCATATAGTCAGTCTGAAATTGGGATGGTTGAAATATCCTTATTCTTTGTAAGTCTTGTGTTGGTGCTTTTAGAAATCCAAAGGTCTTCATTCAGAATAAATTTCAAAAACTATTTGTATAGCTCAAAATACCACAATTTCTTAGTACTATTAGATCCTTTCTGTGGGGAGGTTATATAGAAAGGCTATAACTGGCCAGTGGCATTGCTATAAGAGCTGTGACACACACACACACACACACACACACACACACACACACACACACACAATTTACATACATGTCCTATTTACTCCCTCAAGGAGATAGGAATAAGATCTGTGTCTTTTTCTTTATTTTCCTGCACCATTCTTCATACATACACTGTATGCTCAATAGATATGCAATCCCATCTTTAATAATAATGGTGAAGTTGACAGTGAGCCTGTAATAGTGGACAGAATACTAGACAGGACTAGTACCTCTGACAAGCTGTGATTAAATGTAAAAAAGAAAAGTCCCTCTCCACAGCCAGGCACCATGGCTCACACCTTTAATCCCAGCCCTTTGGGAGGCCAAGGTAGGTAGATCACCTGAGGTCAGGAGTCCAAAACCAGCCTGGCCAACATAGCGAGACCCTGTCTCTACTACAAAATACAAAAAAAAAAAAAAAAAAAAATCCAGGTGTGGTGGTACACTCCTGTAATCCCAGCTACTTGGGAGGCTGAGGCAGCATTGCTTGAACCCAGGAGATAGAGGATGCAGTGACCCAAGATAGCGCCACTGCACTCCAGCCTGCGCGATGGAGCAAGACTCCATCTCATAAAAAAAAAAAAAAGTCCTTCTCTTGACATATAGTATCTATATATAAGAAGTAACATGAGGAGAAAATAACAATTTTCAGGATCTATTACGTGTCAGATGCTGATCTGGATGCTTGTTGTGTTGTACCGAAATTATCATAAAATCTCAATGAGATAGGATCATTATTGTTTCCATTTTACAGGTAAGGGAACTAACTCAGAATAATTTGCCTAAGAACACACATCTCATAAGTGGCAGAGTCAGCATCTGTACCAGGTGATAAGTCTACATTCTCAACTAGTGTTCTACATGTCACATTCTAAAGAAGAAATTTAAAAACTGATAACCAAAATTTTATACATCTATTCCCACTGATCTTCAATTACATAACAGAAGGAAAACTTTTTAAAATTATAGTTTAATAGTTTTGCAGAGTAAAAGCAGTGATTTCAAGTTCACGACTGCCCCCAGCCCAATCCAGTCTCTATTTTATATGAGCTATGTTTTCTTTATTTACTCCTTAGAACATCAGTTCTTGCATCTGTGAAATAAAGAAAATACTCACCATTTTACAGTGTGACTATGAAGATGATACATGTAAAATACAAAGATTTGATAAACACCAATGCTTGTAAATTAATGGCAATAAAAGCTAACAAAAAACCTGTGAAAACAGAAAGTATACTTACAGAAGCCAGTAATCTTCCATCTTCCTTCATAGCAAGGTAACGGTTAGCACACACTCCTTTGATAGACACAACTCCTCTCTCTTCTGCTTGAAGTTGTAGTTTGACTGTAACAGGAAAAAATTATCTTTGTAGCACCACAAAGGAGAAAGTCTTCTCTATAACATTTATGTAATATAAAGACAAAACACGCCTGAGCAACAACTAATCCACTTTGGAGGATTGGTGAGGTTGGGAGTATAGGCAACAGGGAACAGAGGTCAACTAAACTGTATGAGAGGATGAGATGCGGAACTACTAGGGCACCAGTGCCTTGTCAGTCCCTTGTCACTCCTATGTCACAGGGTGAACAGAGAAGGGGGACAGATGGAGAATTTTGTTTCCTTGGTTGGGCAATTAGCTTTCAATTGGCCCTGTTAACTGTTTACCTTTTTTTAAGTGAACATACTTTAAGGGTACATAAAAGTGTAGACCATGTGAGAATTCCCATGCTACTGCCTATGTTTAAACTCTTTAATTAAAAGTTATTTGCCAATTCTTCACAAATAAAACACAATCTAATTGTTCACTGTTATAAATTGAGCTGTATTTCCTTGACTTCTATACATCTTATTTCTAGTTTCCTCTTCAATGAAATACAGATGCATTTAACTTTCTATATGAGATTTTGATGTCTATTTCTTTTTGTGTGCAAATATTTATCTAGTGGAGACACAAAATGCTTATACTTAATTTGCTTATACAGCAAATGATTTTCATAAAATGTGTGAGGAAAGATTTTCATAAAATAAGATCCTGACAAAGATGACTTGTTATACTACATTATCAATATTAAGCAGATTATAAAAAAACAAAACAAAGATATTACTTGATTATGATAATATAATATGGACAAATAATTACCTAATTAACTGAAATAAAAATAAAGATTATTTTGCTATTCAGCGGCAGCAGCATTCTCTTGCCTAGAACAACATTCCTCCAAATGTATTTTGGCTAACAGATGTTACATAAAAAACAGGTTCTGGGATCAAATCATTAGGAAAATCTTAGTTAAGCCAAGTTAACTCTTTATTACCAAACTTCTCAGAACTCTGCTTATCATAAGATAAGCAAGATAAATGTTTGTCCAGCGTATTTTCATAGGTCATCCTATATCCTATGGATATGTTTGGGATATTCTTGAAAGCAACAGGAAAAAAATACAGTTTTAGAAAGCAGCATATTATCATTTGAATAACATTGGAAATATATAATAAATGTAATTTCCCAGGTAAGTTTCTAGGTAGCTAGAAAAACAGCATGAAAAATCAACTTTTGAAAGTTTCTGAAATAATTAACTTCATTAGATATTATTGTGTCACAGTAATTATGTTTTAATATTTTTCCTATCAAAATAGCAACAGACAAGCAGAATGAAACATAATATCTGGGATTAGCTTTAAAATAATCTGGCAAATAAATAAATTTTTAATAAAGTGGATAAGATAAATAAGAATGACTTGTGTTAATAGTTATTAGAAGCACAGGATTCCATTATTCTAATCTCACTACTTTTATGAATGTTTAAGAATTTACAATTTAAAAACAGACATCTTAGAATTTTGTCGAGCATTTCACGTCTGAGTATCCTCTGCATGTTAGTCGCCCCTGGATTCCAGAAAGCATTGCATCAGTTAAGCCTGCAGTTACCCAGGTGAAATTTTTCTACAAAATCTTAAAAGATAAAACAAAGTAAAAGGAATGTAATGAAGACAAGAAACCCAAACAAAGAAGAGTACCTAGTCTTTTTTACAACATTATTGGAAAATGCAGAAAATAAGCTTTGTTTTTAATAACATAACCAAAATTATCTTGAGTTTGAGCAAATCATTGTATATAGCTCTAAAGTAATTTAGATAAGCCATTTTAATGAAGAATACATTTGCATCTCACTTTAACTCATAAGGTTGTACAAAGGTCCATGAGGCAAGGCTGCATAATCAATCGCTATACTTTCTTTCTGTCCCTTATCAATAAACTCTAGCCCAGCTCTAGCCCATCATCTTATAAATGTGTATTACTGCTCATAAGGGTGATTATGAATATTCATGTATGGCCAGATCAGTACCAGTGACTCAATAACCAAAGTAAATATCATTCATTTACTCATTAACCTTTTGTAGACCTCAACTATTCCACATTCAGAGACTGTCATTCATTATACCACTAGGCAAATAAGAATTAAATGTAGATTTTTGCAAAGCATTTCCATTGACATATATTTAAAATAGAAGCTTTAAAAATAACCAAAGCCTACAACAAGAAGTTGTGTAAGTCACAAAATCATAGATTTTCTATAAAAGCTATCTGAGCTGAGATGAATAGAAAAACCTAAATAAATTAAATTCAAAATACAGATGATCTCGTCACAAAAAAAGAGATGCATAGCTGCTCCATCTCTGATAGGAGGAATAAACTTGCCAAAAAATGGAACTATGAAGTTGAATTTTTAAGAAAATTTTTAAGAAACAGCTGAATATTTAAGAAACTTTTATTAGTTGCTAATATGAGGAATTAGAATTCCTGATCAAAGAGTAACTGCATATTCACCTGCCAGTTCTTTCCTATGGAGCTTCCACCCAGTGCACAAGTACCATACACCAAAGACTAGGAACAGAACAGAAGGGCTGAGAGATCCTCCTCAAGTACCCTGGGCCATTGCAGAATGCAAGGCAGCAGTCCACTGAAGGCTAGGAGCAGGACAAAGCGCTGAAAGTGATCCTTCTGAGAAGCACTGAGCCTTCACCAAATGCAAAGCTAAGGACCAGCTGGATAAAAAGAGATCTTCCAAGACGTGGAAAGCCAGGAGTAGAGTTCAAGAGCAAGGTTAACTCCCCACCAACCCAAACATTTGGCAGCTGAATTATAAAGGCAAATGGAATATTTCAAAACTACTCAATTAGCCCAAGAAGGCAGAAAAGGAAAAAACAGAAGGTAAAGGACAGATAGGATAATTAGAAAAACAGCAAACTGTGAATTTGATCCTGTCATCATGCTGCTATTTGGTTATTTTGCATACTGGTTGATGCAGTTTCTTCATAGTGCCATTGGTCTTTATATTTTGGTGTGTTTTTACAGTGGTTGGTGCCAGCTGGCTTTTCCTTTCCATATTTAGTGCTGCTTTCAGTTCTTGTAAGGCAGGCTTGGTGGTGACAAAATCCCTTAGCATTTGCCTGTCTGGAAAGGATTTTATTCCTTCCTCACTTACAAAGTTTAGTTTGGCTGGATATGAAATTCTGGGTTGAAATTTTTTTTCTTCAAGAATGTTGAGTATTAGCCCCCAATCTCTTCTGGCTTTGTAGAGTTTCTCCTGAGAGGTCTGCTGTTAGTCTGATGGGCTTCCCTTTGTAGGTGACCTGGCCTTTCTGGCTGCCCTTAACAGTTTTTCCTTCATTTCAACCTTGGAGAATCTGATGATTATGTGTCTTGGGGTTGATTTTCTTGTAGAGTATCTTAGTGGTATCCTCTGTATTTCCTGAATTGACATGTTGGCCTGTCTTGCTAGGTTGGGGAATTTCTCCTGGATAATATCCTGAAGTGGGTTTTCCAGCTTGTTTCCATTCTCCCCAATCTGGAACTCCAATCATAGGTTTGGTCTTTTTATGAAGTCCAATATTTCTTGGAGGCTTTGTTCATTCCTTTACATTCTTTTTTCTCCAGTCTTGTCTGCATGTCTTGTTTCAGCAAGGTGGTCTTCAAATTCTGATAACCTTTCTTCCGCTTGGTCAATTTTGGCTGTTGATACTTGTGTATGCTTTACGAAGTTCTCCTGCTGTGTTTTCCAGCTCCATCAGGTGGTTTATGTTCTTCTCTAAACTGGTTATTCTAGTTAGCAACCTTTATCTAACCTTTTATCATGGTTCTTAGCTTCTTTGCATTGGGTTACAACATGCTCCTTTTAGTTCAGTGTAGTTTTTTATTGCCCATCTTCTGAAGCATACATCTGTCAATTCATCCATCTGATCCTCCGTACAGCTCTACACCCTTGATGGAGACACGCTGCAATCATTTGGAGAAGAGGCACTCTGGGATTTTGGGTTTTCGGCATTTTTTCAATGATTCTTTCTCATCTTTGTGAGTTTGTCTAGTTTTGCTCTTTGAGGCTGCTGACCCTCGGATGGGGTTTTTATGGGGGCTTTTTTGTTGTTGTTGATGCCGTTATTATAGCTTTTTGCTTGCGTGTTTTTCCTTCAGTGGTCAGGTCACTCTTCTGTAGGGCTGCTGCAGTTTGCTGGGAGTTAACTTCAGGCCCTATTCATCTGATTTGCTCCAGCGCCTGGAAATGTCACTTGAGGAGGCTGGAGAACAGCAAAGATGGGTGCCTCCTTCTTCTGTGGCCTCTAACCTCAAGAAGCACCGTCCTGATGCCAGTAGGATCATTCCTATATAGGGTGTCTGACAAACCCTATTGAAGGGTCTCACCCAGTTGGGTGGCACAGGTAATAGGACCTATTTAATGAAGCACGTTGTCTCTTGGTGGAGAGGCTGTGCCTCTTAGAGATCTACAGAGAGACTTAGCCTCCCATGAAATAATAGTGGAAGACTTTAACACCCCACTTTAACACCCCACTGTCAGAATCAGATCAACAAGACAAAAAATTAACAAGGATATTCAGGATTTGAACTCAGCTCTGGATCAAGTGGACCTAGCAGATGTCTACAGACTCTACCCTAAATCAACAGAATATACATTCTTCTTAGTGCCACATGGCACTTATTCTAAAATCAACCACATATTTGGAAGTAAAACACTCCTCAGAAAATGCAAAAGAACTGAAATCATAACAAACGGTCTCTCAAAACACAGTGCAATCAAATTAGAACACAGGATTAAGAAACTCACTCAAAAAAGAACCACACAATTACATAGAAATTGAACAATCTGCTCCTGAAGAACTCCTGGGTAAATAACAAAATTATGGCAGAAATGAAGAAGTTCTTTGAAACCAACGAGAACAAAGAGACAATGTACCAGAATCTCTGGGACACAGCTAAAGTAGTGTTAAGAGGGAAATTTATAGTACCAAATGTCCACATCAGAAAGCTTGAAAGATCTCAAATCAAC